AAAAAAAAAAAAAAAAAAAAAAATACAGAAAGGCAACTAACAGCAACTATTCAGGTAATAGTTTTGTGTGAGTAAATTTTAAGTGACTACTGCCTATCCTAAAATTCCTTTCTTTCTATTAAAAAAAACTATTAAGATGATTGACAGGAAGGCCTGCCCTTTAGCTCAGTTTAAGTGCCTGCTTAAGCAAAGCAGTCAAGCTTAGGATTCTGTGATTCAATCCCCAGATCCTCATGCCTTACCAGACCAGCCTTTAAGGCATCCTGAGCCAGCCAAAAAAAAATTGACATTTTGAATTAAAAACTTAAAATATCATCTACATCTGATTTTAACTTTTTGTTGTTTTGTTTTGGGGTTTTTTTTGGTTTTTTTTTGGGGGGGGGCGCAGAACCGGGGATTGAACTCAGCCCCTTGTGCTTGCCAGGCAAGCGCTTATTCTATTAAGCCATCTCCCCAGCCCCTAACTTTGTAATAAATAAATTACAGGAAGATGTTTGGGAAAGAAATGCAACATTTGTTTCAGTGTGTATCTTTAAATGTTAGACTTCTAAGCATGTAAATAACTGGATAGTAAGTTTCCAAATATGGCCTGCAAGAAATCAGGCAAATTTTATCATAAGCAATAAGCCTTCCACACATTCCAGCGTGGCTCTAAACTTCTACCAACCAAAAACAAAGCATTTTGCAATTTGTTGGCATAACAAAAGGACAGGTTTGAGGGATTCAAAACATCAATATAATTTAAGGAAAAGCAAAATCACAATAAAGTTTATGGATCCTAGCTCCCCAAACTGTGGCTGCACCCGGGTTGTGCATCTTCGGGCTTGAGGGGCTCCCACTTCTTCCTGGTTTCCCACTCATTTTGCAGCCTTTGGGCCATTTAACCTTGGTAGATTTAATTTCTTCGTGTCTCCTCCATACAATCTGTTTAATGTAGTACTTACTGATAATGGGTACCCATGATAGGTAGTACGTGAGTGAACTCCACGTGTACAAACGCTAATTACCAGTCCTGGCACGTTTTAGTAGGTGTCTGGCTGTTGCCAAGTGCTTAGTTCCAAGAGCTGAGCTCCTCCTGCAGTGTGGCCCTTTTCTGATCCCTGCAGGAACCAGTTCCCAACAACCTCCCTAGTGTGTTTCACCTCCATCCGGTGCCTGTGGGTGACCACTGTGAATTATCCTGGACCAGATTTCGGATATTCTGGACTTCTTCCAACTCTCTTTTCTTCCTCCACCCTGACTGCTCTCTCTATAGATGGCTACATAGAGAGCAAGGAATGACATTGTGACTCTGATAACGTTGTCCCATGGAGAGATGGCTTGTGTGTCATTTCTGCCTAGTTAGAGAGCACATTTCTTTCCCTTATTAGCATGTTTTTTTCCTGCCTTGCAAATATTCAAATGTTTGTAAAATAAATAAAATCGGATGGCATCTATGTTGATGGATGAGCAGTTGTAGGGATCTGTTGGTCTCTTGGTAGTTCCCAGAAGAAAATGAGAGGATTCAGAAAAAAAACACAAAAAAGAGACAATAGCTGAGGTCAGATGGTGGACCATGCCTGATAGGCTAAGGCCCCCTCCCCCAATAGTAGGGGTCTTTATTTATACCTTTACAAAGTTACAAGATATAAGGTTGCCTAGCAACTAGTAGCCCACAAGGTCCAGGCAGGATGTTTTTCTCAAGACTGAGGTAGTCTGACTGCTTTAGGCAGTGAAGCCTCATCCTGCCCTCCCACAGGATCAGTTTCCAGCTTCAGCACTCCCAACAAGTAATCATAGTTTGTTAGTCTACCTGGAGCCACTTATGGTTCCATAGACTTTCTGTGCACTAATTAGCTGAATACTCATACCAGAGAAACTGTCATGACACCCACTTTATAGATGAGAATATTGATAGTTAAGGGATTGAAGTTTTCTCAAAGGCAAACAGATGGAATCACCTGGACCAGGAATTCAAACCTTGCAGGGGCTGGTGAGATGGCTCAGTGGTCTAAAGCACCTACTTAGAACAAGCTTAGCAAAGCACAGGGACCGCAGTTCAATCCCCCAGCCCCACATGCCAGCCAGCCCCGCCCCCTGGTGGGCTGAGCTGGCCACACACACACACACACACACACACACACAAATAAATAAATAAAATAAAAAGAATTCAAACCTTGCAACCTGAGTTGTCTGGGACCTTGTGCCACACTTCCCATCACTAAGAAATGACAGTCTCTGTGATTAATGGTCAGCGGTGTCATTTAGTAAATAGAAAGGTTATGTCCAGCTTTCTAGAGAAAACCTAAAGGCATGCTCATGTAATCTTTTTTGTTGTTATTTTATGACATTCTGCTCATAATCGGGTGATAGAAATAAATGGTGCTCATCATAGAGAATTTGAGGTGCATCTGAGAAGCTAAAATTATCTAGTCTCAAGAGGTAGAGATAAGTGTAAACACCTTAATGCGTTTCTCTTTCATCATTTCTATGATATATAGTGTTTCTATACTTTTCAAAAAATGTGTCATATTTACAGTACTTTTATATTTGGTAGCTCTTGCTTATTAATGCTTTCAGCAAAAATAAAATTATAAACCAAGATCAACCTTTAACAGCTGTCAGTATTTTGCCAGTCTCAATGTATAACTGCCTCTCTTTTTTTAAAAAAAAAAATCTCAGACATTGAGTCAAGAGGATTCATAATAGGTTATTATATATATATACAGAGGATGTGGGAAAGAGGACAATGACAATTCCAAAGTTCCTGCATGATAACTAGAACACTGCTGGTTAGTGGTAAAGCTGGGGCCCCAGAGGAGTTGCAGTCAAAGAAGAGAAGTAAGGAGTTTGGTTTGTTCATTTGGAATTTAACTTGCTCTTGATTTCTTAGTAGTGGAAGCATGCTACAGATGCTCAGCCGACAGCCGGATCCTGGGGTGTACTGGCAGCTGGGAGAGGTTTGCTGAATGCTTGAAACCAATCAGGCAACAAAACAATAAAAGTGGCACACATAGATGTTCCTTGTCCTCTATCTCACTCATTGTGACTGCTTATAGAAGGCACAGATCTTTGGAGTATTCGGAGTTGCTGTTTATCCTTTCCTATCCTACAACCTGCAGTGTCCCTGGTTGACTTAGGAGCAAACTGTTGCAACCTGTACAATTGATTCAAATTTGTAACTCTGTATGTTTCCACTGTAACTTTGTTAACGAGGACTGTAACAAGCATAAACTGACAACCTAGACTTCATCTTTTTGGCTCAGTGCATCTGGCCTCTGAACACAGTTTTATTAACGTTCAAAATATTCCTTTGTTCTGAGCCACAGATTGTTAAAAGCAGTCTATACAAAGTTTCCTGTGATCAGCCTCACAACCTAAGATAACTTTCGGTTCCAAGGACAAGTCCCTGCTTACAATTTTTCTTGTGATCAGTCCCATATCTTAAAGTAATAACTCTCTGTTCTAAGGATAACTCCCCGTTCCCAAAATTATCTCAATACCTTTCTGTAACATCCTGTGATCAACACCAGGCCATAAGAATTAATTATTTGTTCCTAAAAGTGTAACCGCATGTTAAAAAAATGTAACCTGTTTCCCGCAAGTGGATGCTGACCCCAGTGCTGCATTCCCTTACGCTCAAGTCACCCCCCCTCTTTTTGCGGTTTTCAGCTTTAAAAACCCTTGTCTCTCCCCACCTCGGCGCGCACCTACTTGGAGAGTATGTGCTGCCGCTGAGCTCAGCTAAATAAAGCACTTTTTGCTTTTTAAGTTTGAGTCCAGTTTTTTATTTTTGGGTTACAACACAAACCAGGACTCAAGTGCAATTTTTACATTTATCAGCAGGTGGTAACGAGGGCTGTAACAATTGCTAGCACTTGTTAGGAGCTTACGACGAGTCAGGCAGTTCCCAATGCTTTTCATGTATTCACGTTGATTCTTCATGTCAACCCTGTCACTACCCCCACGTGACAGAAGAGGCACAAAGGAACATTGATCTGCAAAGGTCACTCAGCCTCAATCAGTAAGTAACTGGGGCCCCAAAAGTAAAGCCATCTTTTCTGAAAGAGCCTGTCAGGGCCAGGCCAAGGGTGAAAAGGCCATTGGCCCTGAGCAAGGAGTGAAAGCATGTTTAATAGGGGAGTTTAGATAGGGGAGGGGGGCATCCCAAGAGGGATACAGAATTTGGGGTCTCTGAGTCTAGGGCTATGTGACAGACAAGTGGGGTTGGTTACTAGGGTTGCTGGCGGACACAGGATGGCTATTGTGCTTTTCATGGAATCAGCTCTGCAGGTTTGTTGGCAGGCAGCCTTGGAAGTTAGAAAATTGGTCAAATGTGTGCAGGCAGGACTAGGCCTCAGTGCCCAAAGCAAACAAGCTACCTCAGTCCTAAAAAAAAATCCTGTT